ACAACTCCAAACTAGTCTGTAATTTAATGTTATCTTGATATAAACCTTATTTAATCATACAAAAATGGGAAGATGACAATAAAATCCTTTTAAATTATATAAATGACAATCTGATCTCTCAAAATGCCATAATTTTATTGAATTCCTTAAAGACCTCTTTGTTAATAAATTTTAAATTGAAAAGATCATTTTACCCTGAATGACTAATTGTGATTTCTTGTTCAATTTTGTGATTCATTAAATAAAAGTTGTGAATCTTTAAACAAAAGTTGTGAATGAGATTTGTTATTTAGAGAACTTGTTTTCCAATAATAAATTACACTTGACAAATTGTACTCAAATTGTACTTCTTGTATAATTCTTGTAATTCACAGAGAAAAAGTTATTATTTTTTAAACAAAAGTTGTGATTGGGGTTTGTTTTTCAATAATAGAAATCACACTTGACAATTCTTGTTCAACTCTTGCAATTTACAAAACAAAAGTTGTGATTTCTTAAATAAAAGTAGTGATTGGGGCTTGTGATTATCCTATTTAACTTCTTTCTAATTTGAAATGTATTATTTAATTCCACAAAGTTTAATCTTTGAATAATTAAACATGTAGGGCCGTTCTACTCTAAATAAAAAATGAATTAAATTATGTATTTTATTTATTTTCTGAGTATTGAGTATATATCATTTATGTACTTTGTTATTAATTTCAGAGTTTTGTGTTTGTTTTCTTTACTTTTACAGGATATGTTGAGACATATGTAGTTTTTTAACCATTCTGTTTTGTTTATATATCTTTGTCTATTATAATTTTTTTAATTCCTCTATTATAAGTTTTTAAAAATATTTTTAACAAAGTACTTATAATATACAATTCTTGGGAAAATATGAAAAAAATGAAAAAAGTACAACTATGAACAAATATGTATGTGAGGGAAAAACTAATGTGCCAAAATATGTGATAATTGGGCTTGGAATATATGGGCTTCCATTGAAGTGCTATGATTTAAAAGATTTGCTTTAAACAAATTTTAGAGAATCCAGCTTAAAAAATAGAAGATTTACTTTTAAAGAATTTAAGTTTTTTATATAGTAATTATTGATATAAGATTAAAAGTAATGACAAAATAGTAAAGTGTTAGCTTATCAAAAAAAAAAAGTAAAGCGTCAATCTTGTTATGATATAATGGACATTTATATTTATTAGATTTATGTTAATTCTCATCACATCAAGCATTAATATATGTAAACACTAATATCACCATTTTGTTTTATTTTACTTTGCATATGAATTGGCAAGTGAGTGAAACGTCATAGAAAAAAATAAGAACAGAAACAAGAAAGGCCAATTTTAAATATGTATTGCTAGAAACCTATATATTAGAGCTAGAAATTTAAAACAGATCCATGTATATAGACATGTCATGGATATAATTAAAGTTAATATCTTCCAAGTTGTTTTCTATATTTGTAAAAAGAAAAGAAAAGAAAACTGCCTTTGAAAAGAAAAATGCAGTGGAAAAATGAACAATAAAAGGCAAGAGAGAAGAATTAGAATCCAAACATGTAGCACAGTTTCACTCTAAACCCAAATGAATTACATGATACATTTTATTTATTGTTGATTATTGAGAATATCTCATACGTTAGTAATATGTACTATGTTATTTAATTTCATAGAGTTTTATGCTTGTTTTCTTTATTGTCATGGGATATGTTGTGATATAGATAGGTCAGTCTACCAATTTTTTGTTTATTTTAAAATGATTACTATCTAACTTGGTTTTTTTTTGGAGGAATAGTGGTAATTTTTGAGCCCAAGATATGGTTGAACAAGCTTTTTTTTCTTAGTTGAATTTAAAATTTTGATTCAATTCCTAAAATGTAATCTGTAATTGATTTTCTATAGTTATTTATATGTCTTTGTCTATTATGAAATTTTTAATTCATCTGTTATATGTTTTAAAGATAAAAATGTTTCAATGAAATAAGTATAGTTGATTTTGTTTAATATCACAGAATATATGAAATTAAAATAATTAAATTTAAATTTATTACTGTTATCCTTTCAGATTTGGTGGATTAATTATTTTTCCCAAATTCCTATATATTCCTAAGATTTATTCGACTTGTTCAAGATATTAGATTCTAAGTACCTTCATTAACCATGATAAAAAAAATGTTTAGTGATTGTATATGGACCTGAGGTATGAGGCAAGATTAATGGATCAAAAGATGTGATTATTGGGCCTAGATATGTAGGCTTACTTTTCTTTTGGTCTTAGGATATGTAGACTTACATTAAAATGCTATGGTTAGAAGATTTACTTTTAAACAATTTAAGCTTTTTTTTTCAGCCATTATTGATATAAGATTAAAATTAATGATAACATATAATGTCAATCTTGTTATGATATAACTGGAATTATATTTATTAAATTTATATTATTTCTCACATCAAGCAACATATGTAAATAATACTATAACCATTTTTTTTATTTTACTATGTATATGAGATTTTTTTGTTTTTTAAATTAAATAATTTTTATTGATACAAAATAAATATTTTTCTAGAAATACAAATGATAAAGTACATACATATTTACAATGCATTTGATGACATGAAATGTGATAAAAAAATTAAAAACAAGAACTGGAAAAAGCCTTACGACTTGTTTTCTACCGGTATGTAGGCATATCTTGGATATAGTTAAAGTTAATGCCTTCCAATTATTTTCTACATGTGTTAAAAAAACAAAAACAAAACTTGCCTTCAGAAAAGTATGTATAAAAAATGAAAATAAAAGGCAAGAGAAAAGCATCAAATTTCAAGTGGTCTTAATCATCATAATTCAACATTCCTGAAAGTTTATTGTCACCTGTAAGTAATAAAATCCTTTAAAATATAATGCTTTTAAAGATGTGTATTTACTTTTTGCATTTGGAAAAGTTTCCACAAATATAACTGATTTAAAATTTTATTTAACCATTAGATGAGCATGTGTCTTCAAAATATGTATGTGTGCGTGAAAACAAAATGATCTTATTTCAAATTTATTTCTACCACAGAGAGTAGGAAATTTCTGTTGAAATCACTCCTGAAAATTGGTTTCCCACAACTTAACTTCTAAAATGATATATCTTTTTTTTTCTTTTCTGTCCTATTCATTTAAACTTTATATTTTTCTCTATACTCATCTTTCTTTATTTATTTAACTTCATTTTCAATATTTGTCCTATTTACTTTTTTTTAATTTGAAATGTATTATTTAATAAAGTATAATTTTGGAATTCAACATGTAGGGCGGTTCCTCTCTAAATTCAAATGAATTAAAATGATGTATTTTATTTATTTTTTGAGTATTGAGAATATATCGTTTATGTAGTTTGTTATTAATTTCAGAGTTTTGTTTGTTTTCTTTACTGTTATAGGATACATTGTGGTATATGTACGTTTGTTCACCATTTTGTTTGTTTACATGTCTTTGTCTATTATAAATTTTTTAACTCCTCTGTTATAAATTTTAAAAAATAAAAAAATAATTTTAATGAAATACTTATAATATACAATTCTTTAAAACTTATGAAATAAATAAAAAAACAAAAATATGAATTAATCTATGTGTGAGGGAAAAACTAATGTGCCAAAAAATGTGATAGTTGGACTCACGATATGTGGGCTTACATTTAGGGTCTGTTTGATTCAAAGAAAGGAAAGAGGAGGTGAGAGGAGAGGAGGGAAGGGAGGGGTGGGGAGAGGTTTTGGAAGGGAGGGGAGGGGCTCCCCTCCACCTAACCAAAGGAGGGGAGCGCTCTTCTCCCCTCTCCTCCCCCCAACCAAACATACCCTTAAATACTATAGTTTAGAAGATTTGCTTTAAACAAATTCTAAATAATCTAGCCCAAAATAACAAATTTCATAGAAGATTGACTAATAAAAATTTAAGTTTTTTTATACAGTAATTATTGATATAAGATTAGAAGTAATGATAAAATAGTGAAGTGTCAGCTTATCAAAAAACAAATTGTAAAGTATCAATCTTGTTATGATATAATTGTCATTATATTTATTAAATTTATATTAATAATCATTATATTACATCAAGAATTAATATATTAAACACTACTATCACCATTTTTCTAGCAACACAAGAGACAAAGTATATGTTAAAGTGAATTTGGCAAAATAAAACGTCATAGAAAAAATAAGATTAGAAACATGGAAAAGCCTGTTTTAAGTATATATTGCTAGAAACCTATATATTAGAGCCAAAAATTCAAAACACATTCATGTATATAGGCGTATCATGGATATAATTAAAGTTAATACCTTTCAAGTTATTTTCTATATTTGTAAAAAAAACGGAAAAGAAAAAGAAAACTTGCTTTGAAAAGAAAATGCAGGGAAAAATAAAAAATAAAAGGCAAGAGGGAAGAATCAGAATCCAAACTGTCCATTATATTGTTTTTATATTATCAAATAATATCATTATAGTGGAAACAAATATAAATATTACAAATCTTGTGCAATTACTTGATGTTTTCTACAAACATAATTGAATTAACATTTTATTTCATCATAATAAGTGTGTGTCGTGAACATACACATATAAATCTCATGATAAAACCATGGACAACAAATGGAATGATAAAAACCTAAAGGATATATTATCTCAAATTTATTTCCATTTGAGATGTTACACACCCATATGGATATGGGTATACCAGTGAACGAATTAGCACACTTGGCTTATAGATTTTGGAATGTTTCCATCCCAATTAAAAATTCTTTCTTCACTTTCACCTCACTTTTACACTTCTATATATCATATATGTCACTTTATTCATATTATCTTTGGGATTAGTTAATCTAATCCAGAGCTAACTAACATATAAAGCATCATATTTCATTCCTTTAAAAGTAATCTAGCAGAATTATCAATATTCACTAGTGTCTTACCAAAATGTAAAATAGAATTTAAGACAATCTTATAATTAAAACTCTTACCTGATAATTGATTTCCTCCAAGTTCAATGTGTTGCAATATTGAACTGTTAAATAATGAAGATGGTATAGAACCAACAAGCTGATTCGCTCCAAGATACAATGTCTTTAGTTGTGAAAGATCACCAATCTCATTGGGAATGTCCCCTTGAAAAATTAGGAAGGAGAAAAAAGAGCATGTAAGTAACAATTTTATATTTTTATAAAATAAAGACAAATATAGTATGGAAAAAACACAAATATATTCCAAATGATTAAACACAACTACAACTATTTTAAAACAGAAATTACCATGAATAAATTATTTGGATATGTAGGATAACATATTAGGCCCATTACACTGTTTTATGCTTCAGTTCAGTTTATTATTCATATCACAGGATATACGAAATTAGAAGAATTTAATTTAGATTTATTAATGTTATCTTTTCAGATTTGGTGAATTAATTATTTTTGGCAAATTCCTATATATCTTGTAAGACGTATTCGACTCATTCAAGAAATTAGATTCTAAGTTCCTTCAATTAACTATGGTACAAAAAATCAAAGAAAAACATTGAAATCTAATTTGGCCATTGCGTTTCATCATTCGTATCAAAACACATTTGTTGGGAGTCTCTTAAAAAAAATCAGTTTTGCTAACAACAAGCTTTTTAGAAATTAAAATTAAAATGAAATTTAAATTATCCAAATCAAAATAAAATGTTCCAAATTTGTGCCTTGTAAGGGTTACTCATTTTTTTGTAATGAAAAACAGACCATTAACAAAGTTTTTAATGAAAGAACAGTAAACATTTATTTTTAATCATTGGTTTTAGATCTGTTCGGACTATCGTTATAACAGTATTATTTTCCCATGTTGTGACTATATTAACTTAAATATACATGAAAATAAAAAAATGCTGGCAAAACATAAAAAGAAATCTACATAAATAAAAAAAAAAGAAATTGAGACAAACCTAGATTCCTCTATGGCAATACATATAAACAATATTATTACATTCAAAGATAAATGACCCTTTTTATCCGTTTGGATTAATAATAATAGCAGAAAATTGGATGAAAAATTTTCTAAAAAGATAAAAATGTTGCAAAGTAAAAAGAAGAACATGCATAAAAATATCAAAAAATTAAAAAGAAGAAGAAGAAGAAGAAGAAGAAGAAAACAATTGAGACAAACCCAAATTCCTCTACGTGGTCCTTGAAGGGTTATAGCAAGCAAACCAAATTGACAAGTTCAGAACAAAGACAATTATATATGTTAAAAATAATCTAAATTGTTCTAAGACAAATTAAATAACTCAAGTGAAGATAAGTTGGAAATTCTTGTTGAAATTACTCCTGAAAATTTGTCACCAACAACTTAACCTGGAAAATGATTATTGTTGTTACTTTCTCTCCTATTCATTTTAACTTTATATTTTTCTCTCTCCTCATCATTGTTTATTTATTTGACCTTTTTTCAGTATTTTCTCTATTTATTATCTCCCAAATTTTTAATTTCAAATTAAATAATTATTGAATAATTATTATAAGAAAAACTTTAATTTGAAAAGTATTATTAAAATTTCACCAAGCATAATTTTGGAATTAAAAATTTAGCACAGTTCCTTTCTAAACCCAAATAAATTATAATGATGAATTTTATTTGTTTGTTGAGTATTGCGAATATCTCGTTTATGTACTTTGTTATTAATTTCAGCGTTTTGTGTTTGTTTGTTTGTTTGTTTGTTTTTAATGTTATTGGATAGGTTGTTATTCAGCACCAATTTAGACGGAGTATGTAGGTTCGTGTACCATTTTGTTTTGTTAATCTTAATTTTAGAGTATGTAGGTTTTGAAATTATTAAAAATTAATTTTTTTTAAATGAAAAGAAGAGTGGTTTGAGCGAGCAAGATATGGTTGAACAGATTTCTTTTTAGTTTTAAAATTTCAATTCTGATATTATAATTTTAAATTTATTTTGTATATTTATTTATATATATTTTTGTATATTTAATTCCTCTACTATAAGTTTTAATAATGAAATAAATTAATTAATTAATATATACAATTCTTGGAAAAAAAATGAAATAAGTGTTTAATGATATATGAATTTGAAGTGTAAGGCAAATACTAACGGACTGGAATTTGGCCCAAAAAAAAATTATGATTGGGCTTGGGATACGTGGGCTTGCATTGAAATGATCTGGTTATTACTTTTAAAAAATTTAAGCTTTTTATACAATAATTAATATTGATATAAGATTAGAAGTAATTTTTTTATAAGATAAGATCAGAAGTAATGATAAATAGTAAAGTGTCAATCTTGTTATGGTATAACTGGAATTATATTTATTAAAAAATTTTATTATTTCCCATGAAGTTACATCAAGCAATATACATAAATAATACTATCACCATTTTATTTTCTTTTACTATGTATATGTGATTTTTTGTTTGTTAAAAGCTAAATATTTTTATGGAATAAAGAATAAATATTTTTATTTCTATACAAGTGACAAATTACTTGCATATTTAAAATGCATTTGACAACATGAAATGTGATAGCAAAATTGAAAACAAAACAGGAAAAGCTTTTTTAGTATATTGGTGAGAGCCTATATATTAGAAACGAAAATTCAAAACTCATCCATATATACAGACAGATCATGAATATAATTACAGTTATTGGTAAAACAAAAAACAAAAAAACAAGAGAAGTTGCATGTGAAAAGAAAATGAAGGAAAAATAAAAAATAAGAGACAAGACCAAGGTTGTTAAACTCACGAGTTTAAGTAAACTTGTAATAAGAATGTAAACTCGTATCTTAAACTCGGATCGTAAACTCGTAAGAGTTTACCTCTATTAACAAATAGCCATTAAAATATGATTATGATTTAATTTAAATATATTAAAAATGTAAATTATTAAAATAAACCCATATACATTGATAAATTACCATATACAAGACATAACAATTTTAAAAGAGGAGAACTTATTTTTGATATTTTTGTTTTCTTTTTCTATTAATATTAGTTTTTGCATTTTAATTTTTTTCTTTGAAACAGATCTTATAACTTTTATAAATTAAATTCTTCATAGTATATAATTAATTCGCTCAACTAAAAAAAATTGACAAGCTTAATAAGTTTAACCAAGCTTGCATCTAGTCCGAGTTTATGAATTAGTTGATATAATTTTGTAAGTTAAAAATATAAAAATAGTAAACTCGTGAGTTTAACCAAATTTGTATCTACTCTGAGTTTATAAGTGAATTGACATGATTTTGTAAGCTAGAAATGTAAAAATGTTAAACTTGTAGAGTCAACTTGAGAGTTTGGCAACTATGGACAAGACAGAGGCATCAAAATCTTAGTGATCCTTTTTCTATTATCTCTATCAAATTATATCATTATAGTGAAAATAAATAATGTTGATATTACAAATCATCAACATTAAACATTCTTAAAAGCTTATTGTCATCTATATGTAATAAAATTCTTTAAATTAAATATAATCCTTTTAAAGATGTAAAGTTACTTTTCGCATTCAAAAAAATTTCCACAAATATGTAACTGATTTAAAATTTTTATTTCACCATTATGTGAGTGCGTGTTGTCAAAATATGTGTAAACAAAATGATTTCATTTCAAATTTATTTCTATCCAAGAGATTAGGAAGAAAAACAAACATCATTTGCTTCAACAGCCAACAGCCCAAACCATGTACATATACGGATAGGGACATATATGTAATAGCATCCAAACATAATTCTTTATATCATATATAATTATATATCATTTTAACCATAATTGCTTTGGGATTAAATAGTTAATCTAATATTCTAATCCAGAGCTAATTGACATTTTATTCATAATTACTTTGGGGGGAAAAAAACACACACACACACAAATGTGCATACTTGTAAATGAGTTGGTACTCAAATATAATTTTTTGGGGAAAATTTCCATTTAAATGATTCCCTCCCAAGTTAACCTCTCTTAAAGAAGGTATGTTCCAAAGAAATGAAGAAATTTCATCTAAAAAATGCAAAATATTTAATTTGATAGTTTAGACAAACTAGCTTATATTTCAGGAATGAAAATATCTTCAGCTTAAACTATTAGAAGCAATATAGAATAAGCATAAGGAAGAATTTTCTAAAGTATGCATTCTTTTATTCATGTTTACAATATTAATACTTTCTCAATCTAGTGTTGCATGTGTTTTATGTTAGAGATGAGAGGGGTAGTTATATGCATTTTTACTGACACAAGATTCAAAAAGCAAAATTTATACTTAATGAGCAAATCCATCCTTAGAAAATAAAGCTCACAATGTTAAGAAATATAATTATTTTCAGAAATTGAATTTGTTACTAACTAATTAAGTCCTATATAGGGTATCAACATACATAGGCCAATGAAGATTATTTTTCTAGTTGATAAAAATAAAACCTTTATCTTATAAAGAAACATATTTAAAGTAGGTCATGGATGTGAGATCCTTAGTAGATGTTAACATGTAAATATATGTGAAAGTACTTTTGGAGTTATAAAGCATATCCTAAATCTTAAGTTCTCGATTATTGAAGACTTAACTCACCTAATTTTTTTTTCTAATTGATATAAAATAGAAAAAAGTTGTAGTGGGTTTCATTGCTATCATTGTCTTGGGGGTATCCGTGAAGTCATTGGCTTACTTCCTTTGAAGTGTCCCAATCCAAATGTCATATTCCTTAGAATTTAAACAAATACCTCTTTTTATAGAATGATATAACAAAAATCAACACAAAAATTTCAATATTAGAACTGAGCTATTCAATATTATTATTACTTTTTTTGAGTGAATTCAATAGTATTATTAATGAAAAAATGAGTGCCACATTATATGGCCTTACTTTTTGAATAGTTAACTTCAATTATGAAATGAAGGCCACAGATTTTTGGTGGTTTGTGTAATTATAATGGATTTAGTAATTATCATTAAGGAAAAACAACGTTCGCATCTAACATTGGTTTAAGAACAAAAGAAAGAGATGAAAATGAAGAGAAAAGAAGCTTACACTTCCCTCCAACTCCAACTCATGTTATAAATGTGATAACTTATACATTTCATATACGAATTAAGTATAAATTCTTTATATCTAAAGTTTGTATTTCATTATATTTATTTTTAGCAAATAATATACATAACAAAAATGAATATTTGACTACAAACTTTTTTTAAACAAAATAATAGTTAGTAATAAATAATAAAATTAAAATATAATTTAAATAGTCCAAATTAAAATTGAATGTTCTAGGTCTATGCATTGTAAGCTTTACTCATTTAGAAAGAAAACCCTTCAAAATGTTTTCAATGATCGAATAGACTATTATTCCCATGCTAGCTATTATTTGAATGCACTGTAGTAAAGAAACAAATATCCTATTGCTTCAGTTTCATACAGATACGTGATTTATTGAAAACAATTGATGAAAGAAAAAATGCATAAAAATGTCCAACTAAAATAGTCGAGACAAACTTAGGTCCTACCACATGATCCTAAAGGGAATATATCATGCTAACCAAATAGACTAGTTTAGAGCACAAATAAATATAGGTATAAAAAAATAATCCAAAACATACCTGACAAAGTGTTATAAGACAGACTTAGCAATTCAAGTGACGATAAGTTTGAAATTGTCTGGGGAATGATTCCTGAAAGCTTGTTAACTGCAAGTCGTAAAATCTTCAAACGCTTGATTCCTCCTACCTCAACAGGAATCATTCCTTCAATTAAATTACAACTCCAATCGAATACCTCTAACCTTGATAGATTGAATAGAGATAGTGGAATAAATCCATCAAAACTATTATTTCCAATATTTAAGTACTCCAATATGGATAAATCTCCTATCGATGTTGGAACTTCTCCATGAAAGTCATTGTAGCTCAAGTTCAACAGTTTCAATCTACGCAATTGAACTAACTCTCTTGGTATTTGACCATAAAAACTGTTGCTACTAAGATCAAGTTCAACAAGAAATGAGATATTCCCCAATTGTGGAGATATGGTACCTTTAAGATCCATGCCACCAAGATTCAAGGAACGAACCCTTCCATGGCGAGTATTGCAGATGACACCAACCCAATTGCATGGAGAAGAAGAGAGAGACCAAGTAGATAAGGAATCATATGGATCTGAAGTGACTAAAGATTTAAGGCTAAGAAGTGCAGATTTATCAGTAGTGATGTTTGCATCAATCAAGGCTAAGGAGGATATGAAGCAATGGAGTGAGAAGATCAGGAAAACAAAGGAAGGAGATTTTTCCATGTTGAGCATATCAAACTTATCAAAATTGCAAGTTGTGTGTCTAGGAAAACACACATCATTTTATACTTCTCCAATCCCACAGCAAGTCAAGGCATGCAAACACAATGACAAATGGAAAATTAAAATAACATCTCTCATGATAAGATTAAGAAATTCAACTGAAATATTAATTATAACTAACGTGTTTGGTAAATAATATCTATTTTTTTATATTGGAAGATATCGTTTTAACCTTCTCTCGTTTAATTTTACCACATGGATATTACAGCTATCGAGAGTCTTCAATTAATGAATATGTAATTCACAGTGCTATTTCAACGGGAATGAGTGCTTTTTTTTTTTTTAAATGGAACCCAAGTAATTTTGTTTTAAATAAAAAAGCATGCATTGAATGGGTTCCGTATTAATCAATCAATCAAAATAACCAAAACAAAAATACCAAAGCACGTGCGTATGTACAAGCTAAAAATGAAGCACCATATGATTCACTAAACATCACATTAAGGAAGCAATGCCGTAATTGATATTTTCTTTTGAAAACAAAAATAAAAGGAAAGATGAGCATACTTGTTGAGTCTAAAAGAAGAAAATTATATAACAATCTTAATTTTAAATTTAAAGTAACACTCAGTTAAAATCTCTCTACGAAATAGAAATTCGGTAGGTGACCATAAATTCCACAATACATTATTTGACTTGATGGTATGGAAATGTTTTTGAAGAAAAAATGAAAATAAAAAAGGAGATTGTTGCGTGGTATAATTTTTTCCATTATCCCATTTATTGACCGTAATTTTATTTTGGCAGCATTAACTTTTTTGTAGTCAAGTATGATAGGCCATAAAATAACCCCGAAAGTTACTTTAGTGAGAAGAAGTTTTTTCCCTTAATTTCAGTGTGCTGTAAATTTCACTTTTGGGACCATATTTTCATTTATGGTCAAGTCTGGCAAGCTAGAGAGTAACCCCATAAAAACGTTATCGAAACGAAGCCTGCACAGATACATTGTCCCTTAATTATGAATTTCCTTTTTCTATTTTTTTATTTTTGGGTTAGACAGTCATTCATTTCTTCATTATGGATATATAAATTCTACTATCTATAAAATTATTGGTTATAATTTACAATAAATCAAACTACCATGAAATATAAACTGATGAAAGAAATCTTTGTTGTGTATTCTCCCTCATTCTTATCATTTCACATGGTTACTTAAATAAATACTATGTAAAATTTTAAAATCTTGTAGCTAATTATGTAGTGAATGTGTTATATAATTCTAAATATTTAAAGAACAGGTTCTCTTGGAAGAGTTTCATGATATTAATACTATATAACACATTTACTACATGTATATATAATCAATTTGTTATTTTAATATTTAATATAAGGAAAAGAAGTTAAGAATGCTCAGTTCTATAATATTATTGGGGATCTTTGAAAACATACCTGTGGCAGGATTCAAGGAACAAACACCAAGTCTATGATTTCTGTAATCAAGGCTAGCCCAATTTTTAGATTTCAAACAGTTGCATACAGATCCCTATTATAGTCAGAGCAAGTCCATTTTAGACTTCAAATGTGTGTGCAATATAGGTTTTTCTAGGTCTTGGGGTGACATTTGGCTATTGGGTTCTGATATCACTTGTCGGAAATGAAGAGTGACTACTTGAAAATAATACAAGAGAATAAATGGACAAGAATAGTAGAGAGATATCACATCTTAACTAAAAATCTCAATAAATAGTTTATGGATACTTTTAATTTGTTATACATTAGTTATCAAGCCTTAGTTTTATTCGATGTGAGATTTTTTATATCAGTTCAAGTCCACTCACATTTGTACAACCTAACTTTCTCCTCCTTAAGTGTGAGTCTTCTTATATTAAAGATGCCACAAATACTATGTCCCTACTCCTACAATCAGGTGACAAATGGGTTGAAGAGATGAAAATAAAAGGAAAAAAAACACTTCTTCTCATTACTAAAATAAATACTTTTCTGGGTTCTTTAAGGCCCCGTAGACTTGACCACAAATTAAATAAGACTGTGATAATGTAATCTTCAAACTCAAAGTGATAGCAGAAGAAATTGAACATAGAATTTTTTTTTTTTAATGCGATCTACAAAGTGATGAAGATGTGCATCGCTATTTTTTCAATTTATACTAAGATGTTATTATTTGCTTTATTCCCGAAGTTTCTATCAGATGATGATTTCAATAAATTCAAATGCATTAAAGTATAAAACTAAATATTTCGTTTTTCGTTTCCATTGCTTTATTTCATTTATGCTTATAGTCTTGCTGGTAGGCCATGGACAGTACCCTAAAATAAAATTAATAGTGAGATATCAAAAACGTATACAAGTCTTCGCACTTTAATTGATTGGATGTACACATCAACCACCCATTTGTCATGGAGTATTTGATTTGTAAGAAGACCTTAAAGTCACACTCCATTTCACACGAAACAGCTTTTATATGTCTCCTTTAAGTATATTTTATTTTGGTAATATCATCTTAATTTAACCAAAGAAAAATTGCACAATTGACTTCAACAATACATGTAAATAGTGTGGCTTTTAATTATTCTTTGAAAAACTTTATATATTGCATGTGAAAAAAATAGTATGTATTTTTGCAAAGATCACAACCTGCAATCTAATAATCCAATTTTTACGTCAGAGACTTGAAGTGGTAATTATATGAAATTTAAAAGATAAATATTTTTAAAGATTATATTGAAGGATAACATCCTAACAAAAATTAAAACTCAATTTGTAAATTTGATTTATTAATAACAATTAAAGATAACATGTTCACGATATGAATGATCTAATTTTGTTTCAAAGCTGAATATTGGTCAAATAGCAATGCAAAAGTTAAAGTAAAAAATTGATCCAATGTAGATAACTAAGTGTTTAATTAACATGATATTATTTATACATCTCTAGAATACTTGTTAATACACACACATACATTTAATTAACTCCTGACAAATTCAATCCATTCACTTGTGTGGCCTGACAAAATTGCATGGTTAATGAAATGGCTGTTGAGAAAAGAAACCAAAACAAAAGAAATTAAAAGAAAGAGAAAAAAAGCTTAGGGTCTGTTTGGTTTCTATTTTCAAAAATTATTTTCTATTTTTTTAAAAAATGAAAAACTTGCTTGGATAAGTGTTTTGAATTTAATTATTTTAAAAACTGTTCTTAATTTTTAAAAAAAAAAACAAAAAATGAAAACATATTAAAGCTGTTTTTGAATTCTAACATCTCATGTCATGATGTAAACATGGTCTCACTCGTAAGAAAAACTATTATTACGCACACAAATCAATAAGAAAGATTGAATATTGACCCCTGAAAGAAGTTGATACAAAGAACAAGAAATAAAATAGTGTTGCATAATTTCTATGCTATCATATAGATGAGTGATCACTTTTTTTTTTTTAATTACAAATGGATTAAACAAAGTAACAAAGTATAGCTAAATGTCCACGAAAGAGAAATTTCTCTCATCATCTACCACCTTAATGCAATAAGGAAGATGAGTGATTACTAAATCAATAAGAAAGATTGAATATTGACCCCTAAAAGAAGTTGATACAAAGAACAAGAAATAAAATAGTGTTGCATAATTTCTATGCTATCATATAGATGAGTGATCACTTTTTTTTTTAATTACAAATGGATTAAACAAAGTAAAAAAAAGTATAGCTAAATGTCCACGAAAGAGAAATTTCTCTCATCATCTACCACCTTAATGCAATAAGGAAGATGAGTGATTACTAAATCAATAAGAAAGATTGAATATTGACCCCTAAAAGAAGTTGATACAAAGAACAAGAAATAAAATAGTGTTGCATAATTTCTATGCTATCATATAGATGAGTGATCAATTTTTTTAAATTACAAATGGATTAAACAAAGTAACAAAGTACAGCTAAATGTCCACGAAAGAGAAATTTATCTCATCATCTACCACCTTAATGCAATAAGGGGGTGGGTGATCGAAGACATACCAACTATGTAAGCAAAAGAGAGCTAGCATTCCTAGCTAAGAGTGATCATATTTTGATAACCATATGTCAAGTACGCCATATACTTATAAATGAATTAGGTTGATGTATATAATACATCCAACACAATCGATTAACTATAAAATATTTCATTTGTGTAAATATTATTATTTAAAGTATATCCTGTGAAAAATTAATTCTTTTTTGTGGGGTCATCATTTCCAGCTTTGTGAAGTCTTTGGTAATTGGCTTCTTAGACTTGTGCGAGTTAAAATGGGAAAAATTACAATAAAGCTGTTAAATAATAATTGGTCATCACAAATATATTTGCTAGTCACAGAAATGGTGTAGGTGTTAAATAATAATTACATATAATCAAAATTCTTTTCTAGATCGTCATTCCGATCACTTTTTAAAGTCTTCCAATATGGACTTATGATTCACGTCTGAGAAAAAAATATAAAGCATACAGACACTGTTAATTTTTTATTAGACATAATCCAGCTAGCTTTTTGAAGTCTTGCATCATCACTGACATATAATAAAAAACTTTTATAGCCATATTCCAACCTTTCTATGTCTTCCACTATTGACTTGGTGTTGTCATGTCTATCTATAACAACCAACAGGCACATATAATTATATAGTAATTTGCAGGAAAATTATATAGTAATTTTTTATTAGACATAATTCAGCTGGCTTCTTGAAGTCTTCCATCATCACTAACATATAATAAAAAAAAATTTATAGCCATTATCCAACCTTTTCAAGTCTTCCACTATTGACTTGGTGTTGTCATGTCTATCTATAACACATATAATTATATAGTAATTTTCAGGAAAATTACATCCAACAACCATATTTTTCGTAAAAAAAATATTCGATCCACCACAACCATACAATATTAAGACCTTTTACCATCATTCCCTTGACTAAAAATACTGCCCCTAAAATCTCCCTCACCACCTCATATGTGACAAAAGCGATTGCTCTGGAAAAAAATTTAATAGAATGTTATAATTAGAGAAAGATTAAGTTCATGAAACAATATTTGATCAACTGAGTACATTTTTCAAGTAAAACATGTAATCGTCAAATTTAAAATGTAGTTGAGAAAACTTCTAAGCATTTTGCTGGGGAAAAAATAGAATAAATGAATAATAAATATACAAATAGGATAATCATCCCAAGGTTTTATAGCGTGAGACGAAGAGAGGCAGGCATGTTTGGTTTGGCTGAATTTGGGTCATTGATGTGTTCGTTTCTCAATCTTATGTTGCTGTTATTTTTTTGATAACTTATGCTTGTTATTTATTTATTTATTTTTTAGGTTAAATATTCCTCTTTCAATTATTGAAAGCCAACATACAAAGAAGATGAAATATCAAATCGGTTCTTAAGACAAAATTTCTCACAAAATTTTATGAAATAGTGATGACTAATTTTTAAAATTTCCCTTGTTTTTCACCACGACAACTTTATTTGCAAATAGTGTCAATCAAAAGTAATTTTGAAAAGTTGTAAAAGAAATGTAACAAATTAGGTTGAGATATTTCGCGAGTCAAGCGCACCATTTACCTACAAATAAAAGTCTACTCACAAGTCAAGTATGCTATACACCTAGAAATAAAAAATTGATAGATATAGTCAATTAAAGTGTGACGACTTTTGGGAAATATGTTTTTGTGAAGGGACATTTCTGTCAAGCATGCCATAGTTGCATTCAATGCATTGGATAAGAAAAATCTGGTAGAGGAGTTTTTTAGGTGAGAGAAAATAAATATTAATAGTTACACGTTTTATTTATTTGTAGCGTCAACAAAAGTTTGTTAAGGACCCAGTGAATAAGTAATTTGGATTTCAATAGAACATGTTTAGATCTCTATAAAGAGAGGAGGAGGAAGTGATAAATAAGAGTGCTAATATTTTCAACACCAACAAAAAGTTAGTGATAAAAATTAGTAATATTAAATTATTCTTTTTTATGAATTCCATTAATAAATTGTATTACAGGGAGAGATTTTACGAGGAAAAAAATTAAAGATAATTAATATATATTAATTTTAATTGGAAGGTAATATTGAAAAGTAGCTACAATTTTTTTTTTTGGGCGGGGAGTAGCTACCATTTTTTATCATTATAGTGATACAAATCACTTTTGACTATTTTTCTTTATGCATGCGAAGTATTCAAACTTGGACTTTATTGAACTTCTAAATTTATTAATAAAATTTGGAAATTTCTAATAAGCCTATAATAATAAACTTATTGATCTTAATATTACTGTATTTTTCTACCAACGGGAATAACATGGTCTAACTCATGTAAAACATTTAGTAAGGACACAATCACTTTGAAAGATTAATTGTTTTCCCCTAAAAGAAGTCAACTGAAGACTAAAGACTTTTGTGATATATTATTTTATTATGGGACATTTCCGTGAAACATGCAGTAGTTGTAACTAATGCGTTTGAAAGGAAAAATCTAGCTAAAGAATGGGAGCCTTTAGCTAAGAAAAATTAAATATTTGTTTTTTAACCTAGTTTATTTAGCCAATTCAACACTGTTACCGGCATTACTTTTACAGTTTTACTTTCATCATAGTACCACTTAAATAGCACTAAATTGATTATTGAATAGTTATTTTATGCACATGTTTGTCAATTGCAAGGCAATTTCAAACTAGTTTGCTAGCTATACACGCATCCAAATTATTGTTATACATTCTATGCATTATTAGACTCGAGGTTGATTTATAATTTATATGGGGACTTAGAAAAATGAGCCATGCAATTTATAAATTACAAATAATAATATGGCTTGTTGTTAAATTTTATCAATAGGCAAGATGATGTTGATTTGTTGTGAAAGTCGGTTACTTTAAAATTGACCGTATATTTTACTCCTGTTTAACAATGCCACCCAATTCATTTTCAAGTGGTAGTCCTGTTTAACAATGCTTCCTTCACAATATCTACAAAGGGGTAGTCACTATCACATACCTTTAAAATCAAGAAAATAGCCTCCATGCAATCCATATACTCATCAACTCTTTGAATAACATGTATCATTTCAAGATAAAATAAAGAGCACCCATGAAAATGATGAAGGGATACACATTCTATGTTCATTAATTTAAAATGAACAACATGTATCACTTCTCTTCCTCTTGGAATTAGTGAAGAGGGTGTTCCTAATAATCTGACCTCTATCCACGCAAACTCTATAACAAGGAGACAGACCAAATGAGTTTTCCTCTAACTAGTTAGAACCAAAACGCTTATTACCTTTTTCACCATACTTTTTAACAATGCAAACCCAATCTATTTTCAAGTGTTTTGCCTTTTTAAACAAATGGGCTTATGAAAAGAGGGGTCCTCTAATTTGAACTTCCAATGGGCTCATGCTTCTCAATTTCCTTTTTTTTTTCCCCTCATAAGATAATGGGCAACAAGCCCAAAAGAAACATTAAAAAATAGTTAAAGGGTAAAAATATTTTAAAACTTTTTTTTATGATGTTTAGTATCTTAAACTTTTTTAAAACAATATTTCTCCAGAACTTTCAAAAATAGTGCAGTATCATCCTACCATTAAATCTGGAAAACGTGACTGTTAAAAATGAAATTTGACCAAAACCTTTACACATGTTCTTCTCTCAATGACGCACTTCTTCCTCCTCAATCCTTTCTTGACCACCTTGTTGGAGCATCTCCTCTTATCCACCTTCTGACTCTGATTCTCCGCTTTATGAGTATGCGTGCCTCAGCATGAAGTTATGCAATCTTCACATAACCCAATAACCAATTAGCATAATTGTCCCTAACTATCCCTAACTATTAAAGTTATACAAAAGCTAGCTCCTCTCTTTCAATTTTGATCGTTGTTATTACTTCTCCTTTCATAATCACAGGACATTAAAAGAAACTAATTCCAACTTATTTATATCTCTACGCTGTTTTCTTTTTAAGAAAAGTCATATATACCACAAATTTAATGATAATTTTGTATATAATGTTTTTAGAAAAATTTAAAATGAATAATAAATGTTGCTTAATTATCTCAATGAATTTCTTCACAAGCCAAATAATAAATGCCAATGAGATGTATACACCAACCAGTTCGAGCAGTGCCACCCAAGTCCGCCTATGTTGTATCAGTTGGATTACAAATGTCAGGCATCATCATTAGGTATGCACTAAAGTAAGTCAGGGCTAATGCTATGAGACTGACACACGCCCAAAGATAACATCACCATCACAACCTTATTGAGGAAGTCCACTTACAAGCAAGAGCGTAACTCCAAGAGATGCAACAAAAGCCATCGTGTTGCACATTACGAAGTAATGAAAGTCAGACATATCATTAGCAGCTAGCAATGATTGCCCAGGACATGGACCATAATTCTCCTAGCAATGTAATGGTCCTAATGTAGTGTTGCTTGAATTAGATAGACCTTATTGAATGAAGCTGCCTGGAGGGCTAATGACAGCTTGAAAAGTTATGGTTGATATGACTGTTGCCACAAGACTCAAATTCCCTCTCATCTCTTCTAACCATTCACCATTATGGTTAAAACATTATCCCATCTACTTAGACAAATTTATCCAACACTTCTTTGAAGGTCTCACTTCTTCATTTATGATATCGATAATTATCAGTGCTTGGGGAATTTCTGATTTCTTCTCACTTATAAAGCCAGTGTTCATCAGTATGACTTGTATTTCAAGAAACTTTAAGTCCTTTTGAATTCGAGGAACAATGTTGGTGGCTGTAAAACCTATGGCATTCTTTAAGTTTGATGCCTCTCGTATTTTAGGAATTGACACAAGGTACCTTATTGATCCAAACAATAAACATGTGAAGCATATTGCTACAAGATGCATGCATCTTGAAACAAGGAACCCATAAAATAATCTAGAAATTTAGATTTTCCTTATATTGTTAATAAATAACATTTTTATACAATTTTATTCAATTAATTTAGTATTTTTAATATTTATTTTGAGACTAATTGAGTTTAATTGATCAATAGTTAATTTTTAATTAGCCAATTTTCAATTTATGAATTTTAAGTGCCTAATTCTTGAATTTTAATGCATAAATTATCATTTGTTATTTAGCTACAAGGGAAAAAGTCAGAGCAGAGATAGGTAGAAGATGGAAAGGATAAGCACAAATTGAAGTTTGAAGTAGCATTGTTTGCTAGCATCTAGATGGAGATATGGAAAACATGATGTTGATATGTTTTCTGAGAAACTAGAGGTTGATGCACTGGGATGCTTGATTAGAGCAACAAAGTTGAAAAGAGAATATTGAGATGCTAAATCCAGAAGAAAGATGAATAAAGTAACAGGAAAAGCCAATGATGGTACATGCTAAAGTAGGTTAGTAAGATAACAACGAACATTGATGAAGTTTATACTGTCTAAGCAAAAATAAGTACCAATTTCTCCTTATCATTTAATTCCTACATGAAACTCCCTTACACTACTCAAGCATCATCAATAATACATAACATTCTGAAATAAATCCAATCAAGCCTTTGAATCACATTTGACAAAAAACTAAAATCAACAACCAAAAATCTTGAGATTTCTAACAGGTATTATAACCACACATGTTCCTCCAAGATAAGCAGAGAAATTTCATAATATTCATTCACTAAATTCTTCTCTGAAACATTCTGACGAATACCTTGAGAGCATTCATCAAAGTTCAGCTCTCAACAAGCCTCCAACAATTTAATCAACCTCCCATATTAACTTTACTGTCAATATTCAGTTTGGCATCCCAATAAAATTATATACAGCCGCAACCCAAATCAATTAAGCTCCTCAATTTCTGAAGAATTCATGACAGCCATAAAAAAAAAAAAAAAAACACAGGCAGAATCTTTGATCAAGAGAGAAGAGAAGAGGAAGCTTACCACACGATGGCTAGAACTGAGGATGAGGAGGAAGAGAAGTTGAAGATGACACACATACACAAGCCATCACAAACCAAGGAAAAAGCAGAGGAGAATGACAAGGGAGGAGTATTCGGTGATTCTACCCCCACAGCAGCCGACGACGTGAACGGAGAGAAGAGCAACGGATGAAAACAGCGGCAAAGAGGGAAGTTGATGATGAGGTACAGAAAAGCAGATCGATGGTGAAGGGGGAAAAAAAAGAAAAATGTCGGATGCTCTCTCTCTCTCTATCACTTTCACGGGTTATGTCATTCAAATAAGAAAAGGAGAAGAAGAAAAAAAAATTCTGATGACTCTCAGGCAGAGATGCGACGGCGAGAAGGAGCACAGATCGACGGTAAGCATCTGCAACCGATGAGGGAACTAAACGAATGGGTTGACGGTGAAGAACCACAGAGGAGCACGCTGGCGGTGGACAGAAAGAAGAAACAGAGATGAATCCGATGCCCTGTTTTACACAAGAGATATAAAATCTGAACAAAAAGAAAAATGGAAAAATTTACAGGAAAGGCGAAAGAAAAATTATAAGAAAGGAAATAAAATTTTTCTATAATTTAAAATAAAATAAAATTAAACTGTTTGGGTTAAATATGAAACGTTGCTCAAATAGGTTACAGGGCTAGTTGGGCTGAGTAATTGAAGTGTTAGGCCCAATATAAATAAAAGGGGCCGGCCCTGAGACTCAATAAAGGCCACAATAAGTAAACATGTCTAACTCTCGTCGGTTGCAAATATTAGACCATTAGAGTGAAAGACACGATCTCAAGTAATGTCGAAATCTACGGATCTCATGCTCAAGTATCTCGGTGAAATGGGTTGATTATCAAAATGAAGAGTATGGAATAAAGATCGTGTTATGAGTTTCACGAGATCCCTAATTTTTTAGCAAAACGTGCTAGGTCTAAAGGAAAAGACTACCACTACTCTGACACTATAAATAGAAAAAGAAGACATAGAAGAAACTATTCAATACTCAATCAAAAACTCATAGTTTTACATTTTTTAGCCTTTTTAGCTTATCAATTAGTTTTTCAGTTTAAATTTGTAACCTTTTCACATTTTAATAAAATCGAACACTTGTTCTACCAAAGCCTTGTATCTTTTTACATTCGAGTAAACTGTGGTAAGGGAGTTTGAAACTCTTTTGTTATCAATTGAGACTCAGTGCGTCTGGGATGCCTGATATTTGTTGTTCACCATGAACACAAACATTTTGCTTAGCATGATTTAAACTCTAGATCACCAAAAAAATTACTATTATAAATTCTAATAAACTACCACTCTTCACTTATTATAAATTTTTAATAATTAAATAAAATATCAATTGAGAGAGAAATTTACTTAATTTAAAATTTAAAATCATTACACATATCAAACATTTTATGTATCCCAATAGTTATCCTAAAAACAAATTAACTTAATCGTTCAATTACCAATCAACTTATTTTAAATATGAATGTCCAAAATCAACTCATTTTATATAAAATAAGTTTATAATTTTAAAATGAAACAACACAATCAACCTATGGAACAATACAATAGTTTATAATTTATCAACCACACAACAATCAATTTATTCTCTTTTTTTCAAAAATCTATATAAATTTTCTATGCTTTCCAAATTCGTTTCCTAAGCCAAAATCTATATATATATATATATATATATTTAAATTCATTGGAAACAACATTTAAATTCATAACATTAGGCTATAATATATTGAGAATACTAAATTACTCTATTTCAATTTTTCTACACATTTTATTGAACACTTTTAGTGCATTAAAATTCAAACTATATTACTAAGCTTCTTCCCTTACATTTCCCTTTCCAACAAAATTCCAATATCAATATTTTCATTAATCATGCATTTCAAATATCGTTCCTTCAACAAAATAAGCTTTGAACTCAAAGACAAAAATCAAATCGACACTCATCTTCATTAACAGTAATTCAAACAATTATGCTGAAATTTCTTATTAAAAAAATGTGTTCTTAAACTCAGATTTCTACTTGACTGGACCCCATCTACAATATTTCCATTCACATATCAGCAAGAACGAAGAGAAGGAATGACAATTTGCTTCAGCCAAACCAAAACACACAGACGCACAGATTGGTATCAAGGTAGAGGAGAGAGAAAATCATAACTTCAGCCAAAGAAAACAAATACACACAAAGCATCAGCAAAGAGAAGCAAGAGTTGAAGAATGTGAAGATCCTAACCTCAAATCAGCCACGACAAAGCAGAGAAGAAGAGGAAGAAGTCTGAAAACAGGGGAGGAAGAAAGGGGTCCAGATCCCCTGTGTAACGAAGCTGCAAGACACACGAAAAGGAGAAAATTGGCGATGCAAACAGAGGAGGGGAAGAATCTCACACTGGCCCACAGCAACGATCGTGAATGGAGAAGAAGAAACCAGCCACCTTCAACAACGATGGATCTCCTCGTCGCACACCTCGACGATGAACGGACAACAGTTGGAAGACCCATCACTCACGTTGGTGCAGAAGAGAAGGAGAATCGCGCAGCTCTGTTTCTCCATTTTAAACGCTGAGGGGTATTTTGGTAATTTGGTGTTATATTTTTTAAGAGGGGTATTTTGGTAATTTCATGGTCTAAAAAGGTAAAATTTCTCCAATTGAACTAGGAGGATTTGAATGCACAACGTAGAGACTAACTAGATAGTAATCTTTCTTTTCACTGGATCACTAATGTTTCTTGTGACAATTATTCCACAATTTATAAAATAACATCAAAACTTGCTATTGATTAATTAATATAAATTTTTTATGTAATTTTTAATTTTTTTCCAAGGTCATTACATCATGGCTAGATTTGCATCTTTAGTTATTAAGATAAAATGTCACATATTATTTTTAGTCAAAAATGTGTGGGCCACACATGAAAAATTAACATCCATCAAATAAAAAATTAACAAAGGTTGCTGGATGTTTCATTTTTTGAAGTTGAGAATTTATCTCGTATCACTTTATAGTATAAATTACTCAGTATTCTTAAAAAAATAATTGAGGATCAAATTTGTTTCTTTGCCCATGAAAATAAAACTTCAGGACCTTGAAGTCAATTGAAGATTTTGATTCTTTATCAGTATTTAAAAAGCATAATAATAAAAGCTTGTGAAAATCCTAGAAGACTTTGAGGAAATTCTAAAACCCAATTCAAAAATATCAAAAGTCATGGCTAAGATCGACTTAATTAAGTGCTACCTAGTGTTCATTCTTTAGTTTAAAAAAATTGAGAGATAACCATTTGAGCGAGATAAAGTGTTAAGGATGAGTTTAGATATAAATAAATAAAGGTCAACGGGGGCAAAAGATGTAAATAAATATTGAAAATTAATATCCTATTATTTTTTTCTACATACAAAATTAAAAGACACCAACTAGTTCTTACACTAGAGTCTTTAAGTAGCGTCAATAAAGTCTTAAAAGAGATAATATCCATATGAGATGACAATTAACAATCTTACAAGACATTAATTATAACTAGGGATTCTAAATTATTAAAATGGCATAATGGACCATGATCCTTATTTGAAATTAAAAATATATATGAGTTTATAAAATTATCCTAGAGTCTCACTTAAAAAATCAGGAAAAAATACTATTGAAATTACTATTATGAGTAAAACTATTGTTAATCATAGTTGAAAAAATCAAAATCCACACTTGAAAATGGATTGTTTCACAATAAGAAATTAAATTTTACTAGTGAAACTTTTGAAATGCACTTATGAATATATAATAGTCACTTAAAAATTTATCAAAGTTACTTTGGAATATGAAACCAATCATTTGTGCAAACCACTTGGAAAATCAAGAAGTAAAAAAGCACTATTGAAAGGGTTGGGACTATTGTTAATTTCAATTAAAAAAATTAGAATCTCACGTATTATGGGTTGAGACTATTGTCAATCTCAATTTCAAATTTGAATACTAGTTTTTCCAACTAAAATTAACAATTATTCAAATCCATAATTGTAGTTTCAATATTATTTTTTTTCTTGATTTTTCAACTGAGATTCCATCAGTTATTTTCTAATTTACTTAAGGAGAATTTTATATACTCATATATATTTTTAATCCTAAGAGAAGTCCATAATTCATTGTTGAAATTTTAATAATTCAGATCTTTAATTGTAATTAGTGTTTTTTATAGGTCCTTAATTGTCTTTTCCTGTAATATCCATGGTGGTCCTTTGATATGGCTGCAGCGTAACCACAAAAAGAGAGAAAGAGAGAGGGGGGGGGGGAGGGGGGAACCACCGACACAATTCTAAACCTTAAAAAATCCCAGTATATCTTATGTGACAGGAGGAGTTTGTCTAAGGTTCAAATTAATTTGGAAAAATGGTAACAATAAAAAGTCCTAAGAAAAATTTCAAAAACAATATCTACAAGGTGAAAATTCTAAAAGAAATAATAATAACTAACTTTTATACTTCCCGTCGAAAATCTAAACTATTGTAAGACTTCTAAGTTTCAATTATATTTAACATACTAATAAAAATAATTGTTTTTTTAACCTTCATAAAAAAATGCATATTGTTCTTAGCTCCTTTATATTTCTCATGCCTTTATTAATCAATATAAGGATAAATTAAAAAAAATGATTTTAAAAAGTATTAAATATCATATGTTTTAAATTAAATTAAATATACTCCATTCGTTGAGAAAATGTAAAGTATTTTTTGAGGGGTTGGATGTTTAAAAATATAAAGTATTTTTAGTTTTTTAAGGTGTAATTATTCTCTTTTTCTCAAAAGTACCTCATTGAATAAATTATTTTATATTTATTTTAGGATAAAATATTCTATTAAATAAGGATAAATTTAAAAAGATAGAGTTAGTTTGAAGATAAGTAACTATTTTATTGGGAATAATAAAATTTACTTAAAAATATTTTATATTTTTAAATGAAATGGATAAATATATCTTACTATTTGAATGAAATGAGTATTTTATAGGACTTTGAAATTAACTCTGGTGATTCTCAATCAATCCTCATGATAGTCAAATTGCACACGTGTAATGCATTGATCTTGCCTAACAAACTGAACTAGAGGAAAACACCCCCCATATAATGCATACATGTACGGTATGACATTGAATGAATGAACACGCAATGGACTATATAATTAGAGAGATGGATTCATTTACTTCTTCATGTAAATGTAATAAGTGCATTTTATCATTGGTTTTATTTAAAAATATTTGCTATTTAAAATTAAAGTTGTGCACATAACTTTAAAAGCCTATTAAACCTAACTATAATACAATTTGGGTTAAAGGATACATTTAATCCTTTAATTTTACACTTTTTAGTTTAGCCTTGTAACTTTATAAAGTTTTTTTTTTTTTTTGCAATCTTTTAATCCAAACACTGTTAGTTTTATTCCAACAAATATTTACGTTAAATTTTCAAATATTGTCAAAATATTCTTAAATGTTGATATAATAGTTTTATTTTTTTTTAAATAACAATGATTTATACAAAAAATAATCATTTAAAACTAACAATGTTAGAGTTAAAGGATTAAAAAGATACTTTATAAAATTAAAGGACCAAATTGAAACTTTATATAAAGTTAGAGGATTAAAAGTAGACTTTAACTTAAAATTTGATATATTTGTATTGTGATATCATTATTTAATTAAAACATCACTTAACTTTATAAATATTGTTGATGAGAAATTGTACTAAAATAACTCATTAAAATTTTAAAATATAAATATTTTAAAAAAACAAATCTATGAAAAATGTATAGAAAATGAGAAAGGGTTAATAAGCATGAACAACATTTTGAATTATGAACTTTTAAAATGTGCAAAAACTCCCTTTAACTTTTAAATTTCAAGCATATGAAGTCTCATTGTTAAGTTGAAGAAAATGACTATTATTTTTGTAGTTGTAGGGTTCAATCATAAGAAGATGTGACATTTATCTTGACCTTTGAAAATAAAGATCATTTTCTCTAACTTAATGGTTAAGTTTCAGGGGTTTAGAATTTAAAAATTAAGGAGAGTTTTTGCACATTTTATAAATTCATGATCTACATGAATAATTTAGATCCCATAAAGCTAAACTCACAATGGACAAGGGCAACGGCAAAAAACAGTCAAATTTCAAATCATAATTTGCAATTACATGTTTAAATGTGTAAATTACTTACTAGATCAAATAGATATAAACATATATAAATATATATATATATATATATATGTATGTATGTATATGTATATATAAACAGAATAGAAATAATCAATTTGAAGAGCAACCATACAATGACCATCCTACTCTATAAACATCAACCCCCAAAATTTTCCAATTATCAACATTTAAATTTGATGTGCTTTCCAAATTCACTTCTTTATAAAAAACAATTAAATCCTTAAAAAATCGAAATCAATTTTCTTCCTTTGGTAACCAAATTGCTCAAGACATCGTTCTTTAACTAGAGTGAATTTCCAAGCTTTCAATTTAAGTTTGTTTGAGAAGTAATCCCTCCTTCAATTTAAGAATGTACGTACCAAGAAATGAGTCGGCCATTTATTTGCATCAAGTCAGTGTGGAAGCCGAATATGTGGAAATCTGCCGCCTATTCATTAGTTGACGCTTTCAAAAATATATAATACTACTGTTAACATAATTCGCCAAAAACCCCAAAACTCATTGCCTCTTATCATTTTTTCTATCTCATCATCACATGCTCACGTTCTTGGCTGGTTCCTGGGCCTACCATTCAATGTTCTACGGACTAATGACGAGAATAACGACGTTCCTGTTTCATCATTGTCACAACTTACATCAATATAAGATATTATTTCGCATTTGTGTCCCTTATCGAGAACCAGTCAGATCTGGATTTTCGTGCCCAAAGAACACCCATCTGAACAGTAACATCCTCAAGCTCAACCCAAAACTGTCTCTACAGCTATTCCAAAGAAGAGAACAACCCATCATCACGTAATACTCTATTAATACCCATATAGTCGATCTACTCATCAGTCTCTCCCTCCTCCTTCCCAGATGTCCAAAAACTTCTTTGCTCAAAGAAGAGACATCTTTCACAAACTTAGTAACATTCTTGCTACAAGCCTGGAAAGTCACCCATGAAGCAGCGACCAGTCATCCGAAATCATTGTGTAGTATCCATAGAGCAATAAAACGAAAGGGGAGCTGCAAAAATTGTTGAGGTTCTTGTAGCAGCATACGAAGCAGCAGTGGCTGGTGATCCAATTTAATTTGACACAAGAGAAACTGCAGAAGCATTCGTGAACCTCTCAAGAAAAGAGTGTTTGTCAGGATCCTATCCGATTTAAACTGATACAAAGAAAGTGACAGTTTTTTTACCGACATTTCAAAGTTATAATTAAACGATTCTTTTTATTCTTCATTTTCCATTTACTAAAATAAGGAATTATAAAAATAAATTAAAATTATATTTGGACAATCTAGATG